ATGAACGACGAAAAGGGCTTGAACTGGTGTAATCAGACGTAAGAATATTTAAAACGATCTCCACCAAAGCTCCAACGACGATGCCAGCAAAAGACATCATTAGTCAACTGAAATTATGAGAAGGGCCGCTGGAAAAGTGGATCCCAAGGAATGACTTGGGAAACCCGACTGGCTACTTCCTAAAAACAAACACATTACAGTCTCCGTCGACCAAAATGAATATTTTGAATATATCTGAAATTAACGGGGTACTCAGGTATCGTATGGACAAACTAAAGATTTGTGGAAAAAGTCCGGGCAAATGGGCTATAGGGAACTGCCAAAAAGTCTTATCACTGGTAGGGAGGCAGATGGCAATAGTAGAATCAGCTAAAATATTGTCAGCCTTCATCACTGACTAGTTGAAGAGTGTCATGCAAGATCTGAACATCCACAGCGAGCTTTCGAGACCAGTTCTCAACGTCACCAAGCTCCTTAAGGGCTCGATTGAAGTCCGTGACTTCCTTGACCCACATGTTGACCTCGTTTGTGAAAAGGTGAGCATTCCGGTGCAGACGTTTCACTTCAGCGTTCAAACGGCACTGGTTTCGGTAAGCCTAAGGTAGGAAATAGAGCAGTCTGTGACGATGGGTACCAGTCTGCTGAAAGGGATGCAAGAAAGCAAGAAGAAGGCACGGACCCGAGAGACATCGTCATTGAGGTTGTTGCTCAGCTGGAACACCAGGGCGGTTGTGGCCTCAAGAGCCCGCTGCCTTTGGAGCTCAAGAGCCGCCTTTCGTTCACTCAGCCGTTTTTCGTAGGCTTTTGAGGTGTTTCTTAGTAAGTGGCGATCAAATTTTTCTTCTTCGGTTGACTGGTAGGCAATTAAAATTATGAATCGTAAATGCTATGTCCGAAAATCGCACATTAAAACTACTAAAAAGTAAAATAACCTCCAAGAAGAATGATAAAGAACCCTATTTTTAGCGGGAAGACTGCGTTCGCTCGCCGAATGGTCTCCATTTCGGCCGAGGAACAAGGTCGAATGATCATCATACTGGTGCTTCAGATGGTTAGTTGGCTTTGCCGATCCAGATGAGAACTAGGGGTGCGAGACAAGGCGTGTTGACGACGGGGGAGGAGGGCAAAGGCCAATCCGTAGACGGTGTGGATGGCCTGTTAAATATGTAAAACGGTTCGTCCCAACTAGAGATTCTATAGTGTCTGCCTTCTACCGGATCAACCAGTTTTTGGGGACGGAGAGTCAGAATTGCTCTTCAAGACGTCAGACGTGCAGTAGACTAGTGTTGTAAGCCACGTCAACGTGTATTTGCTTATTCGTTTGCTGCTGTGCAGCGGGATACACCGGTCTTACAAAGAGGTGCCTAGAAAAGAGGGTATGTGAACACATACCGGCCTGGGTAGATAAAGGTAAAAACAGATCGATTTCAAGTTCTATTCTCGCACATCTAGTCGGTACGAGTTGCCGAGTCGAGGCCAAATAAGCCTTCCACGTCGTCTATCGGACACTAGTAAACTTCTCTAAAGGCCTACACCAACAGGTGCTAGCTACGGCGGAGGCAGTGGTTACGCGGCCAGCGAATCCAGCGTCATGTTCGTAGAAGACAGCGGTACAGGCGTTATGCCCTCCGTGGCCAATTCCGACTCGGTTGTGATCGTACGTCACTCCAACCCCCTGTGAACCGATGTGCACTCCGCGTGCTCAACCAACAAACAACGCTCACACCCTTTAAGTTTTCATATTTTCATTCTCTATGTAACCGCATTGGCCTGATGAATTACCGAAAACACGTTTTCTTATATTTCTCTAAAGATACTTGACCGTTGTTTTGCCAAGGCCGCATGTTCGACAGCGATTGTTGCAACTATGGGACGGGGCCACTAATTTTCTAGCCGAGCACTTTAAGTTGTCGAAGTATTTTCTAGACTAGAAAAACAAAAATTCTCAGTAAGTAGTGTTTGAAATTCAATTATCCTCTCTGGAGAGTTCGAGACCTTAGAAAACAGGCAACTAGCAATTAAAGCCAATAACGGCCGACCAGAGAATACCCTACGTTCTGCGCCTCATTGGAAAAGAACACCGTATCGTTAGAGCAGACAAAAAGGGTCCTATTGGTCATACTAGTAAAAGGCCGGACCGACAGCAAAGAGTGAGGACATTGATAACCGACCCATTAAATCACAGGAGAAGGTTCTAAATTTGCGTGAAAACAAGGACAAGAAACCTATCGTAACTTAGATATTGGTGTTCAGATGAGACATTTTGTGGTTACTCACCAAACAGGTGAGAGGAAACAGGAACAGATACTACTCTGTGTCTAGATAGCCGGACGGAAATCTTTAACTAAGGTGTTAATTTAAGAAGTCATAGGTGGGAACTGATGAGCGATGGTTCGTTAACCAGGAGTGTGAGAACCTATGAGCGCCTACGACCTCAGATCACTCACTCAGACAACTAACCAATTGGCACACGTGACTGGATACCCGAGTAAATGAAAAGTCATATCGCCGTTAGGGCTAACGGCGGTCTACATTCCAAGAACTGAGTAATGAGAACTAGGATGGTAAACGACCATTTATACATCGACAGAGTTAATTAACAGTAACAAAAGCCCTGACACAGGAAATGCCTGTCAAATCAAGTGACACTTCTTAATGCCAAGTAAGAGTACCCAAAAGGGCGAAATCGGTGAAAATTCGGTCAAACGGAAACAAAACCTACATCTGATAGTGCAGCTAAGCAGCACTCTGGAAGTTTCAACTATTAGAAGCGAAAAGCCAGGTAAGCGTTTTCATCGGGAGTACAGATGACGCTACATGAGACAGGTTATTTGGGCCGCCAGTTTAAGCGGCAAACTGTGGAGACGGATAGCTAGACTTACCATTGAAAATGCAGATATACACAAAGCTACTATGGTGGAATCTTTCAGCGCCGCTTATATGCGACCTGGAAACTACCGGCAGCGAGTTTTCAAAAGTTCGGCCAGATATTAAAAATTAAATGGGCATTAGATGACCCCTGGATATGATGGAGCTTGTCTATCTGTAAAAACCGAGAATAGGGGAATGCAGCCACCAGATCTATGGACAGCATAGACAAACGTGCGCGGCATGTTAACCGTCCAGATAGATCAAAAAAGAAATGCGGAAGGGGTTGTAGACAAAAAGAAAACGACACATTCAACACTAGGCGAACGCAACAAGAATAAATGCACCAAGAATGATTTCTCCTACGGGTTTACTGTAGCTCTAAAATATGCCCAAAAGCAGCTATTCTCCGTGGAAATACATACATATTTAATAATGGAAGCTCTATCATCATTCCCAACAATAATCCACATAAACAGACAAATATAGATGTCAGGACTCGCATATGTTAAACGAAGAAGTAATTACGGGCGAGCGTGGACATGTACAAGATTCGGGAGTGAGTAACGCGATAAAAAGCAAAAAAAACAGGGGGCAGACCCAGTATTTGGCAAAAAGAGGTTTAGTATTTTTCCACCAGCATAATGCTCTTCAGAGGGACGGAATGCCACACAGGACTAACGATCTCAGTCGTCACTACTAAGAAGTGAATCCAGTGTGCATCAGAGGACAAGACAACAAACCTCCTTTGTGGCTAGGCAAGGAGTAGGCACATGAAACCGCATCGTGGATGAGGTTTTGCTCGATTCCTTCTGTCTGCCCGCCTGCTGGGCTGTGTTTGGCGGGCTAGTACCTTAACGAGCCCCCTATTGTGACTTGATTTGCATCATCATTCCTCTTACTTTCATTGATATCAAAGCCTCTCCTGTAGAAAAGACAATCCGGTCGAGTAGATAGTAATATTGGTAATCACTGTATACATTGGTAAATACACATGACGCTAATATGGATTACGTTCCCATCTACGCCAAGTTTAACATTGAAATATGTATTCAATAGGTAGGTGGTCGACTTCAATGTGTCTTTTTACACGGACCGACACAGTTATAACGACTGAGACCCCTAAGTAAATTAAAAATATCCACTTTAAGTCCTATTGCCATTGACTATCATCGCAATTACTCCCCAGCCCTATCTTCGGTCCCGAGATATCCGCCGCAAGTTTTACTTTGTTCCGTCCGCCCACATTTCAGCCTAATATAACACGAATAAGGACTACATGTTTATTTTCAATCAATTTTCCTTCAACAAATGCAGCTTCTCGCCTTTCCTTATTTTTACTTGATCGTTTCGCTTTATTTAAGGTTTTCCTGGCTGATCTTTTGAACTCTTAATAATGTTCATGACCAAAGGACCCTAACAACTATCCACTGATGGGAGGTGAATTGCTTGCACATTATATGATCATTGGGGAGTTTTCAACTAATTTCTGTGAAGTAATCTTGGCCATTATTGTATTCTTTGAAGAGAGAAAATCGTTAACCACCCGAAGTGGATGAAATGGGAAGTGCAGGCCTATTTTTAAAAAAAAGAATTCACTTGAGGTAGCGCAAATGACTAACTGGCACACGTTAGCGCTTGCGCGAATATAAGAAACAATGAGACATTTGTAGAAGGGAGGTTAATAAAGTAAGAAGTAAATTTGAATAAAAAATATCTAGAAACTACTGGAATAACACAATGTCTTATGTGGCCTCATACGAAAAAATAAAAGAACCTGGAAACATACCCACGTTCTTAGGTCTCCAGATGAAACACGGAAAACTGATGACCGGATGACAGCATCCAGACCCTGCAATTTCTTTTCAATGCAAGGCACAAAGAACAGTGTGAGAAGCTTGATCGTCGGAATATATCGACAATTCAAGAAAAATGTGCTGAAGAAAGCAACGTACATCCCGAATCTACTCTAAAGCTGCATCATATAAACACAAGGAATCTACATCCAATTCCCTATTTAAGGTTGACATTTTTATATAGTTTTTCCAATCTATCCTAACAGACAAAGCGAGGTCGGATTTGTGTTTAATCGCTTCCCTTGACAATGCCTGTAAACTGGCATTAAATTAAAATTTATTTATTTATTTAACTGCTCAGGAATCCCTTAAAAGCATTCCCCATTGTGAAAGGACTGGGATGCAGCCTGGCCTTTAAGGAATTTAAGAATTTGCTAGCACGACCAAACTCCGAGATCATCCGTCAAAACTGCGCACTCAGCAGGCAAGGCTGGATGTGCGGCAGTTTTCCTTCTTTGCAGAGTGGTCATAGGAATGCCGGTCCCGCAGCTGTTGTGATGGCACCATCGATAGACAGCTTTAAAAACAAAATTAGCAAGAGCAATGTGAGACTCAGTTCAACCCTCGAGACTCACACGCGATTTTTCAAAAGACTATGGGTCCATTGGTATTATTTAAACCCACACATTTTTCTCTTTACATCGCCCCCAATTTTACGTTGCAAATAGGGTAATCATAGGCTCATGCCTATTTCCATCAGTAAACTGAAATTAACCGAACTGAAGATCCGCCGACGAATTTTGACAAACTCAAAACAATATGTACATGAGGTCAACTTCTCAAGTGCATCGAAAACTTTATTGTGCGTCGGCGCAGGTTGTGCGCATAGGTCAAGAGAAACTAAGTCCTGCTGCGGTAGAGAGTGGTGCAGCGCTAAAACCGTATATGCTCCTAATACGCGTGGACAATTTCGCAAGTTATCTGAACTGTGAAACATCAATATTTGCGGACGACATGAAGATTTTGCGTGCAATCCGAAGCCCTTCCGATAAAGATAAACTACAGACCAATCTAAACTGACAAGAGGCGTGGTCAAATCGTTGGCGCCTTCGGTCCAACGTCGGTAAGCTTCCCCTACCTCACCTAGGTAACCCAGTCAAATCTGATGACTCAAGAAACTATTTTCTCGGCGGTGCAGCGTTTCAAGATGTTCAAGCACAAAAGGGAGATGGTGCACGGATGGCAAACTCCTTAAAACATTCCGCTGATCGCTCCAGGGTGACAAAAGTTCAACGTGCGTGTGGCACGCTATCAAGATAACCTTTTTCGCATATGATATGATCTCCTCTGCAAAAATATACGGACCAGTCGTGGGGACGCAATTAAAATATGCTATGGAAGCCTGGAGACCATGGGCAAACCAAAATCAAAGTACTCTCGAAAAGGATCAAAGAAGGACAATCGAAATTGTCTAGGGTTAAAGATCCTTGCCCTATGTAACCCAACTAACAAACCTAAACTTCTCTTCATTTAGGTACATACAAATGCGCGGGGATCTCCCACACCACCTCTTAGTAAATGTCTGACGAAGTCGACTTACTAGACAAAGTAAAGGGCCACTCTCCGGACATATACTACCACCAGCTTTGAGAGAGGAAGGACTTTCCGAAATCCTTGCTGGCACTTGGCAATAAAAGCAGGATACATTTTGCTGAAAGTGCTCATTAAGTCAGAGACAACAGAGGACATCCCCAGTAGGAAAACGAGTTTGGTTGAAAATAGGCGATAAAAATGTCCTCAGCCAGCTGATCATAAATGGAACTATACTGACCAATTTATAATATATATCCGAAGGACTGGGTTAGGCGCAGTTCAGAGTCCTTTAGAATATACTTAAAGCAACAGAACCGTGTAGAGGAAGGTAATACACGGGAATGCACGATTTAAAGGAGTTAGTTTCCATGCCGTCACAAACGAGTTGCTTAGCAGGTCTGCGTAAAACCATCGACTGCGACAATTTCTTGCGAATTTCCCTGACTGACGTAAGTCTTTCTTGGCCGTTGGCCCTTGTCAACAGTTTCCCGGTCTTCCTGCCTAGTGTCCCTTATTAGGGAAATGTCCATCGACAGTCTAGTCCTCTTTATCATCTTGCGCGCAATTTTCATCCGCATATCTCCAGCGTGACTTCAGTAAGTGGCGTATGGTATAGAACATTGACCGAAAATTTGGGATGTGATTTCGGTTAGAGAGTACTGCTCTGGTCAGCTGTGATGTTGAGTAGAACGCAGAATGTATGTCATTCTGACCGCCTACAGAAAACCTAAATTGTGCGCATATTTGCGATTGATTTAGTATGTCCTTTTAAATTAAAACTTACTTTACAGAGATAAGACACAAAACACCTTGTGTGCATTTTGTAGCAAATTATATTTTTTTCATATTTTCTGCTCGAAGAATCTGCATCTCTCAGTTTTTAATTGTTCTTCAATTCCCTAATAATTTTGGACCCGAACTGTCATTTTACTTGATGCCGGGGTTCTCCGCTCTCCATTTAAAGAAATTTGAACGTCTTTCTGTATTATTAAGAAAGAACCATCCGCGCTTTAAGAAATTTGCTATGGATTTGGACCATGTTGTACAACATAAAAGGATCATCAATACGTCAATTGATACGATGTCTTAAACAATCGCATTATCAGTGTTTTAAACCAAAAGATGGCGTTTCTTTGAGCGAAAGATTTAAAAAGCGTGAGTTCTGCTGAATGACCTCAACGAAGAACAGTTTTGTGCCCAAGTTCCGTAAAATATGTTAAGGCTTGTAGAGATATAGAGAATCAGCAAACAAACCACTTTATCTAAGAACCCAGTTTGATGCGTAGAATTTCTATACGCAGTGGGAAGGATGTAAATTCAAAAGCCGGCATTCCGGTGAAACCGAGATTTCGTGAAATTACGCTAGATGTCGCTCAATATCACAACCCACTTAAATAGTCCTTCATAACGGAAAGTACACTTAATAATTTTGATTTATGTTTTGTGAGATGCATAAACTGCCGTAAATATCTCAGTAGGCGAAAATTCTAACGTTTCGTAGTCTGGGGACGGTCTGCATCCATTAATTAAGTCCAGGATTAGAAACCCTGTCACCGAAGTTTTACGACTTACGTGGACGTCACACTTCGTGGACAGTTCGGTCTTCCTGAGCTCAAAGACACGCTCTGATTGCACTGACTGGTATGCCACCTCAAGGTTCAAATCAAATATCCACAATGTCGTCACCTGTCCGTTCATCGAAGTTAAATATTTCAAATTTTTGGGCGGTTTATTGGTTGAAAAATGAACCAGGTGCGGTAAACGAATATAGGGGTTTCTTTAAGTGGCCACACGTTTTTAAACGTCAGCACTTGGCGCAAAAGGTTATCTCTCGACTGTGTGCCATCCTAACTCCACGGGCGAAAGTGATTGACGTTCTCTGAGAGATCCTAGATGCAGGAAATGTTCGCAAAGTTTGGTTTACGCGCGGTCTGGCCCAGTCTCATTCTTGTGCATACTGTCTAAAAAAGTTAAGTAAACGTAAATTCCCGCTAAGTACGCACCAAAGCCATCACAGTTATGCAGGCCCACTCTCCGGCTCACTCTAGTGCATCTTAACGCGTCCACAAGATGTCCTTATGCGATTTTGTCTGTAGCGTAAGGCGTTGTTGCTGTCCACGTCCAGTGGTCACTTAAGGGTAACCATTTTTTGTGAAAATGTGAATTTTCAGGCAAAGCAGCGGCCGAGAGGACAGACAGTTGCGAAGAGGTATTCCTTGTCAGTTGCAGCCCGGTAAAGTTATCATTCTAGTTGTCTTGTTTTGAGGCCAAGGTGTGACCCGATTTCGAAATACTAAGTCATTTCCATTTGGCACCCTAGTTCATTCACTTTCTTTTCTCAATGAACAATTATACCCTGTTATATTCTTTAAAATTGTGCAGGAATATTTTTTTAAATACAAGTGGGTGGCTTTTTAAAATTTGGACTTCTGCGAAAAAGAGGCGGAAGGGTTCGCCATTTTCCATCATACTCTAAGGCAAATTTAAATGATCTGATCGTAAATTGCAGAGGTCCGAAAATTTCTTGAGATACTGATTTGTAAAATGCAACTTTTGACAAAAAATGAATCCGCGAAGCTAATTTTTCAGTTGAAGGTAAATTCTGGCAGCATGTGGTTAATCATAATGCTTCTAATGCCTTAGTTTCCGATTGTTATGGTCCAGGTAATCCCTTTCAAATAAGTAACAAACCATAATAACGCAAATTTAGGTCATCAGGGCCTGAGAGAACGTCAAAAAGTGTGCATTCTGTGAGGCAAGGTCCATCTTTACACATTTCAGTCTGTACATTGGGAATTTATGGGCAGCGTACATGACATGTGCCGAGGGCTCCGGTTCATGGCTTAATGAACAGCGGCGTTGTAAGCTTCTTGCTTCAAGGCCAACTATGGGCTGCGTATACGCAGTGCTCATTTCTGTGAGTTGGACAGCTTTTCTCGCTCCCGTCTGGTCCAAGCCATATTTTCTTCGCTGGGGTGACTATTCATTGGCTGCGGTTTCATCCCGACCCTGCTGCGGTCGACTTTGAAACCGTCCAATAGCCTGCGAAGTTCGGATTCGTTGGCGACGGGGTTCGAGATGATTGGTTGTCGCAAGGGCACTCCAGTGTCGCCTGCAAAGTCAAACATCACAAAAGCATCAGCAAGTAATATCCTGGGAACGGTTTTGTAAAGAGCAGATATTTGTAGTTAAGTTTGTTTTAATTACTTTTGTTAATGCTCTCCTGAGCGACAATCCGCTCTCTTTGAAGCGACGGTCACGGATCGCGAAGCGGACGCGCAAGAGGTGAAACCCCGCGTACCGACACCCAGACAGGAAGGAGGGTAAATCGGAGGAAAGCTCGCGCATACCTTCTGGTGCCCTTACTCTATTGTCACCCCCTTTAACCCCTGCCCACGAATTACAATTTCCCTACTTGTTCTCCATTCAATAAACGTTCCTTGTTGGAAGTTCATTTCTGGTATTGAATGTTGCGATTCGCGTGATAATACCCATAAGACCCACACACAAAGGAGAGACGTGATGGATATGTCCGCTATACCTCCTAAAGACGAGCAGACTCAACTATCTCCCAAAGACCTCAACACAGACGAGACCAAGTCTTCAGGTAACCCGTGTGTTACAGTTTCTCGAAAGCGCTTAGTGCATAATATCGGCTAAACATGTGGCTGGGCTTTAGCCACATGCGCTTTCAGTATCGTAAGTCAAGCGGCATGAATATTAGAAAGCATAGGACGTACGTGGGAGGCTGCTCCTATAAGATGCACAAATTAACACGCATCGTCCCTAATTAATTATTTATCAAAACCTTTTAGACTACTTCTTAAGTGGTACTAACCTGCGTTATTTCATAAATAGTTTGGTAGTACTAAATTCCTTTTGGCTACAGAGATAACGCCTATCTACAAAGGCACAAAGAATCTCTTCGAAAATTAACACACATTTTAACGACAGACCGGGTAAACTTACTAGACTGCATCAAAGGTGGTCTTTTCAGGAAAGATGATGTGGGAGCATCATCTTTAGCATCCGCCGAATACTCAGTTTTGCTTTTCTCATCTGTGTCGCTTGGCGAAGTTGTTGGCGTCGAGTTCTAAACAGTACAAATAACGGATTTACAAACAGCGGTCTATTTTGGGGTTTTACAAACGTTTAGGGACTACATCGTTAGCTCAGTGTTACTTGGCGAAACAGAGAACGTTTATAGGTCGGAGACTGTCCGATATGTGTATGTGTGTGTTAGGAAATGCCGGGGATTCGATTTGAGAGTGCCCTTATATCACGATATACCTAGAAATGTGGTCGTCTGCGAAAGTTTATTTAAGGCACATTTTCCACACATAATCGTTCAAGGGATTAAGTAGGTGAGGAAGAATGCAGGACATTTTATGACGGTTCTTCACATCCTTCAGCACCCTGCGCTGCAGGTAGTAGTGGGACAATGGCGATGCAGAAGGGCCCTTTCGTGTTCGCAAATGTGCTGGACCATTAGGACAGTTGTAAGGTACTAGTGATCTGAAAAAGGATCTTTCAGCTCGATTAAACAGCTTTGGTATTCGGAGAACTATTTCTGAACGGTGCGCACTGTATTCCACTGTACTAAGCGGTGTTTATTTGTTCTATTTTAAGAGGAATTTCACTTATGGTAGGGGGCGCTCACCGATCGTTCTTACGGAACTCACTCGTTTCGTTGTGCCTTATGCGCTCTCTCTCGAGCCCAACCAGCAGCCGCACAGCGGCGCATGATATAGGCAGTATGCTATTACCGACAAAGACAACGGAGACTGGAGTGGCAATTTCTGTCTTATTAACCGTCGTCAGCCAGTCATACGCAACCCCGAAGTGTGGAACACTTATTATGGAGATGGGCCGGCTGTTGAGCAAGGTGTCCCTTGGACACGATTCCTCCGCACCGTTACCAACTGAAGGCAATGTGCAATGTAAACTGCTTCTATTAAAAGGATATAAGTCTTAATTACCGAGATAATACGTAGACTAGAAGGCCAGTTAACAAGTTTTACTTGGAATATGCATGCATCTTACACCTGGAATTGCGAAAAACAGTCATGGGAAGGTAGACCTATTACAGCGACATTCAGTTTACGTCGTCAAATGACCTACTGGCTGCCGGAAGAGTTTATAAATTCATTTCCGACTCCTCATTCACAGTAGGCTAAAGGCTTTTGGCTAACTACCCACAGAAGTATACATCGGAGCCTACCCAGCTGCTTAGGAAACCAAAAAATCTTGCCAAACCAAAGGAATGAATAATAGAGCATTCTTAGGCGATTTTATCGCACACTCTGAACGGTTCATGGGGGAGCGCTACTGTCTTCAATACATGAGCATAGATTATTTCTCTGCAGCAGATTGCACAAAATTCACTGAGGATGGTAACATGCTCACTAGGGGCAGATTGAACAGGTTGGTGGTGTGTCGCCTGGCGCCACCACGAGGCAGTTGGACCCTCAGGAGGGGGCTTTTCGCTTCGCTGCCAAACGACCTGGAGCGCGATATCTCCGCCTAAATGAGGTAAAAAAAATGACAAAAGGTTTTGGTCAGTCCTGGGAATTTTCCAAGGATGCGTTCGAATAGACCTGGCCTGAAAAACCATGCCTTAAGTAGTTGAGGTATGTTCACGCATAAAGTCACTAGACGAGGTTTTTGAGTGGGTCAGCTATCAGAGGCGTCGGTAGAGACCATGTCGGATTTCTCGCCTCAGACACCTGTTACTCTGTACGCTTTGGCAAACACGTCCTTTTTACCCAACTGAAATGATGAGAGCTTGAGTAAAATAATAAAAGTTTTCCTATTCCGAGGAAAGCGTATTCGCACCAGCCGGGTTCGGCTTGAGCGTCACTTCATAAAATGATTTTGCCATTCTTCGAAAGTTGGTGGGCCATTCAAGCGATTAAATAACAGGAGTTTGAGCATCGTGCCCTGCATAAATCTTCTTTTTCAAATAACTCATTTTGTAGGGTGCGGGAACGAGCGAACAAAATTTATTTTCATGGTTGTTTATCATGGACAATCATTGGAAATAACTGCTTGGGGTACGACCTTTACTGTTTACAGACGAATGTACGTAATATTACCAAGCACTCTGAGTGGTACTTTTATCTAACCTGCTTACTACCTCAATTTTTATGCCTGCAAAGAAATACGGCTCTGTGAGTCATCATACACGCAAATGAGCCGACCAATGGACAGAAGAACACTTCCAGACTGACGAACGACTACGCATGAATACGGCCAGGTCTGTTGGCTACTTTGGTTTGGGCCCATCCTATTTGTCGTGTGGAAGTGTTTTTCCTTTCAATCGACTTTGATGCGGTTCTACTCTAGCATTGCACGACCTGTGTTCAACAAATTCCTGACAAAACTAGCTTCACTGTGGCTGACACCTAAATAGCCTCTACAGTCACCCATCATGCGGGCTCACATCGGACGAAAGCCACTAGTAAGCTAACGGCAGCGTGGAAGACGGTCTCGCGGGAACTGGATGCAGAACATCTTGTCGTTAGCATGACGGACAGAGCAACAACGTGTACATTCTGAGGGGGGGGGCTCCATCCTCACATGGTAGGAGGAAGTGTTACGACAGTGAGACCACGTGACTAAGGGCGGAAATTCCTTTAGTGCTCATATGGTGCTGATAGAGACCATTGTTTTTTTTACTGAATTACGTGCATAGAAGC